GGGCAGGTTGTCTTTATCACACACATCCATGAGGGGAACTCCAAAGAGCTGTCCTGGCTTTGCGGAAGGTGGGGCTGTGCACTGGTTGTGCTGACAAGTGCTGGAACCCTGACAAATGGCCCTGTCACTGAGAAAACGGCTTGTCACAGTCTTCCGGCCGGAGTCTAAGGAAGAAGAGAGAGTACTAGTAGTAGTAGTTGTTGTTTAATACGCTGAACCTTCCTTTTCCTTTTTTTTTTTTTTTTTTTTTACAGATTTTATTTATATTTTGACAGAGGGAGAGAGACAGCGAGAGAGGGAACACAAGCAGGGGGAGGGGGAGAGGGAGAAGCAGGCTTCCCTCGGAGCAGGGAGCCCGATGCGGGGCTCGATCCCAGGACCCCGGGATCATGACCTGAGCTGAAGGCAGACGCTTAATGACTGAGCCACCCAGGCGCCCCAGACACATCTTAATTCCTGATGACTTGTATTTTCCTAAAGATTTCCTCAAAGCAATGTGGTAAGCATCATAAAACCAAGAAATGTCAGAAATATGGAGGGATTGATGATACGTGTCTCCAGGTTCTGAATCGAAAGTCTACCTTCTAAGGTGGACTGCTGCCAGGTAGCTGTGATTAGCTGGGCTCAAATCGTACTAGGTCTAGTCTCAGGGGCACTTCTCCTAGTCCTATTAATGGCTTTTTTTGGATTCCATCCATCATCGTATTTAGTGTTTACCACAATTCTAAGATTTAGACATTATTTTTATCCACATTTTAGAGATGAATAAACTGATGCTGAGCTAGAAAAACTGATCAAAGGTAATATAGCTGGTAAATGGGGGCACAGGACTTTACACTCTGGAGAGGTTTTTTGACATCAAGTCAAGTCCTTTTTTCTCAATGATGCCAGTTCTTTTCAACCTGTTTCAAAGGGCACTGGAATCCTGTGGTGCCTCAAGAGCCCCTGAGCCAAAAGAGGAGGGAGGGGAAGAAAGGCCCCTTGCTCTGGCTTCAACCAGAGCACATCTAATATACATAAATATATATACTATGGTTATATTTATATAGTATAAGTATCTAATTATATATATTATATATATATATATATAACTACATATATATGTATGATGTTGTATATATATATATAGATATATAGCACCCACTTAGAATTTTGTTAGAAAAAATTCCCAAACACTGTAGCATACCATGATGAGTCCTAATGCCCTTATGATCTACACTAGAAACTTCTTGAAGTCAGAGACCTCATCTTATCCTTTCTTTGGTCTCACAACAGTGTGGAACCTCCCTTGACCTGTGAGCCAGCCTTCGGAAGAAGGAGCCCATGGAACTCCTTGCCCTGGCGATGCTCTGGGCTCCAGAACAGCTCTGTCTAAGCATCTCCCATGACCCCTGGCAACCTTGCTGTCTGCTTCTCACTAAAGCCAATTAAATTACTCCCGGTACCTGCAGCCTTCTCGCTGTTACCACGACTCATTGAGTTCTCGCCCAAGAGGGAAGTGATGTCTTCTCCAAATATCCTGAGGCAATTTTCAATGAGAAATTGTACAAGACAAATCTGTAACACAAAAAGACAAGAATGGGGTGCTCTTTTCCATAGGGCATAGTTATAAATCACATTTTGTATACAGACCTTGGATCTAAGAAAAAATGGGAAGGACTTCTCAGAAAAATTCAGAGTTGATAAAAATATGTAGAAACCAGGGGCGCCTGGGTGGCTCAGTCGGTTAAGCGTCTGCGTTCGGCTCAGGTCATAATCCCAGGGTGCTGGGATCAGCCCTACATCGCGCTCCCTGCTAAGCGCGAAGCCTGCATCTCCCTCTCCCACTCCCCCTGCTTGTGTTCCCTCTCTCGCTGTGTCTCTCTCAGTCAAGTAAATAAATAAAAGTTTAAAAAAAACAGAAACACATAGAAACCAGAGTTCGCTCAGAAATAACTTAGAAAGAGTGATACTTGCCCGTGTACTTTGGGTACACATTTTAAAATACGGCCCATCCGTGGGCTAAAGTCATAATGCGTGGCCTAGTTTAAGAGCTAACATTTTGGGATCAGTGGTTACGTCTTTAAGCCTAGGATAAATTTCGGGGCCCCTCTGTTGGGCGTCTGACTCTTGATTTCGGCGCAGATCACGATCTCAGGGTGGTGCGATGCAGCCCCACATGGAGCCAACTTTGGGCTCCGTGCTCAGCGGGGAATGGGCTTGGGCTTCTCCCTCTCCCTCTCCCTCTTCTTCTGCCCCTGCCCCGCTCACGCTCTCTCTTTCCCTCTCTCAAATAAATACATATCAAAAAATAAATAAAACAAGGATAATTTTCAAAGTAGCCTACCTTATTAAAGTTTACTTATTTTTTGCTTTTAAATTTTGTTTCCAGTTTTACTGAGCTGTAACTGATGTATACCATCTTATGAAACTTTATAAAGTATGAACAAAAACTTAAGAAAACCATTTCTTAAATGAAGAAGTATCATAAAGTTGGGAAGCAGGGATTTTGGTGGGGTTGTGAGGGAAGACCCACACAGCTGGAGAGAAAACGTATCTGTCTGTCTAACTTCAGTCCCTTCTCACGCATTGCTTTGCCTCATGCTCGCTCTCTCTGGGTGAGCTTGGGGAAGACCTGTCATCTTATTAGGATATTCTGGAATCTCTTGCTAGTTTCCATATGACGTAGCAGAGGTGAAATAGTAGCTGAGTACTTTTCTAGATGAGCCACAATTGGCAGAGGAAGGCCAATGTGTTTGGAGCCATGGGGGCTCATATTGCCCAGGCCACCCAGGATGTGCCAGTGATGACTGGAGGAGCTGGCTGTTGTCGCCATTGTGTAGTGAGGAAACCATGGCTTTGCCCAAGGTTACGAGTCCCTCAGGGATTAGGCTGAGAGTTGAACCTTGACTGGTGAAGCTCCAAAGCCCAGGTTCTTTCCTATCGTATCACACGACTCTTCTCTCCCTCCTTTAGTGAGTCTAGTGTTTAGTCTCCTGGAGGGGGAAGAAGTGACTCGACTGCTCCGAGTTTCCCGTTTAACGACACCCCTTCCCAGACCTCGCCAGAGTAGCATAAAGAACTCTGCCACTCCACAGGGGCCTAATGAAAATGTGCACTTCACAAAGTTCCTTCTGTCAGAGTTACTACTGCACATGTCCGGTTCTAAGTAGGGATTCTACCCCTTGGGGGACAAAAATGAGAGCTCTCATTACCTTTCTTATCAAGTTGTCTTCCAATTCCAAGGGGCCGGAATCAGGTGGGTAAAGAACGCTTGGGACTATACAAACGGATAAATTATAAGCTGTCATCTGATTGGATGAGGAATGTTGCTCAATGTTGTATAGCACTCCAAAAAGGTATCGCAAGAGAACAACATTTGCTCTTGGCAGCTGGGCTAAAAGCCTAAGGTCAAAAAAACACAGTTTTAAATTAGGCAAGTGATTCCACTTAGGAGGTTGGAAAAACAGAGACAGGGAACAGGATACATCCTTGTATATCTAGCACACAACCCGCTCTAGCAGAGTTCCAGGCATGAATGTAGACAAAATTGTTGCACTGAATTCAGTTCCTGAGCCAGATAAACACTTCTCTGGTTAGTTAAATGTCTGACAGACTTTTAAGGTCATAGCCCTGGCAGTTGTTGCTCTTGATCTGTCTTGGACCAGGGAATTTTGTCTACCAGTTTCAAGGATCCAGAAGGTGTAAAACGGCCAAGGAGTCCACATTAATAAGATCAGGAGAAGAACAATAATAGCCCTAAAGCGTGCCTCTATTCTGAAGCTGGGCCCCATGGGTGTGAAGACTTGAAACTCTTTGGCGTTGGTCATGATTATAGTGGGCAAAGCTGGAAAACGTAAGCCAATGTTTTCCTCATAGTATATTGGGTGTATTTTGGAGATGTTACCAGAGTAGAGTAATTATTGCATCGTTACCTCCGACCTGCAGTTATCATCTCCTCTTCGTTGCCTTGATCAATAACACCGAGCCATTTGTCATAGAGATCAGATAAAAATACACTTCCTGGGATATTTCTTAGAAAGTCCTTAGGGAGATAAAAAAATATGTGTATATATTATAGAAAATATGTATTGGAAATATTCCAGAGAAAATATGTAGTTAAAAAATTCAGTTCAGCCCCCACTTCCTTTACAGATACCCAAACTGGGACCCACACGGAGCTCGGCTCTGACTCTCCATTGACTTGCACACGCAGGAGCAGGTGCTTGGATTTTCTCCTGCTAAAACTTAGAGGCATAAAAGCAGAGCTTAGCCTGTGGTGGCAATGAAGATAAAGCTCCCTTCTATCATCTGGAACTTATTTTGTGTGTGTGCTTTTTTTTTTTTGCAAAGTACCACAAACTGACAGGGTCTGGCTATAGACCATCCTAAATCCTATTAGCTTCCTGGACAGAAATACACATACCCATGTTGCTTGTTTTAGACAAGGTGCTAGCTCTTAGCTCTAGCAAGAAAAGGCCTGAAACAATTAAAACACAGGCAGGTGGGCTCTTGCACACATATTAGGAAAGAACTAGGTCTTCTCACTCGGGGTATGTGTGCTCCCTGGAAGAAAGCTACTCGCACAATTGCTTCATTCTTCCTTTTCTTAACTGTCTAAAAGTCGAGAGTCTAAAGGCAGACTCACTGTGGTCCTGAGGATAGATTCATTTCTAGTTTAGGCCAATTGTCCAGTTAGTTTGCCATGATATTATCAAGGCCAAGGTCGCAGAGTCTGATTCTCCACCAAGATCCGTCAACTTCAGGAAGAGAAAACTTTAGAAATGTCTAAGCACTCTCCCCACAAGTGCTCACCCTCTTCCTAGTCGGTGCTTATAACACGGAATCAGGAAAGAACCTCCTAACTCTTGCTAGAAAATCGATTCCATGTGTGCACCTTACAGAGGGCAACACTCATCTTGCTACCTAGTGTATCATCATTCTTCTCCTGTCTCCTGATGCCTGTATGTATATTACTACTGGATATCACTATGACCCCAGTGTAGGAGTGGTTACCTAAGACATTTCTGGACCTTGCTATTGATCCCATCTTCAAACATTAACGGGGGACAAGGGAAGACCAAATGTGACTGAGATTCTACGACTGTAGTCATTACTACGTTAACATAGGGTTGTTCAGAGCTGTTCATAAGTGCCAAGGTGGATGGATTAAATTCTTTCCCTGTTCTATTTCTTTGGGAAAGTTTGCCTTCATTAGGAGGGGGGTGAGGATGTTTTCATGGGTAAACTGTGTGTATGTATCGGTGCGTATTTCGAAATTTATTATCATGACTAGTAGTCATTTCAGTATTAGTATTTTGCATGGAGTCTTCAGGAGTGAAGGTGGGGAGGGCGGTGTGTAGTGAAAACAGAAAGTATTTCTAACACATGGGGCTTTTAACTCCTAAAGTAGCTTCCTTACATTTTGATTTTGTCAAGCGTTTTTCAGCTGGTCAGGTTCTTAATCTATTATGCCCGTTATGGTTCTTGAGCAGTCATGATGAAGGACACCAATCATAGCTTCAGTTACTCGTGTGTGGATAATGCTAGAACCTTCCCTACCTTTAAGACGGATGCGACCACATGAACAGATTCGCTGTACGGGTTCACTTTGACGCCAGAATTTAGTTTCTCCTTTAGCACATGGCAGGATTTTATATTGGCTGATTTTCTGAAGATGCCTTTTGTGAGTGGCCCTTTTTGATGAATAAAGGAAAGCATACCCTGTAGGAAGAAAAGAAAAGTATATGGTATCTCATATCCACAAACGCAGAGCACAAGCTTGCCTCCGTTTTGAAAGAGGAGGGGAATGTACTGGTACACTGTTTTAGAGCGGGAAGGACCAAAGTCAATTTAGATTGTTTTTTTTTTTTTTTTTCAGTGTCTCTCTCTATACTTTCTACCCAAATATCCATTTTACAGTCATACACTGAAACATTTTAAACACTTCTTTTAATCAGATTTTCCTTTCCATTGAGTTTCCACTCTTAAATCAAACTTCTCTGCTTCAAGGCCTTTGCGGAATCACCGTCTGTTTCCTACTTTACCATTCTTTTCTCATTATTCCCCTACGTAGATGCTCTTCCCCAAGTATGGAAGTCTATTTAGGGAATACTCATTTCCCATTTGTTTATTTATCTTTAAGTGACTGTATACTCCTTTCCTACGTGTTCTATTTCCTTCCCTCTTTTAAAGTCAGGCTCAGAAACTCTCTTCTCCTTCTCTGATTACCCTCCCTTCTCATGAGTCTTTCATTGTCTTTTGCTCTATCTTCATGTCCTCTCTCTGCTGTGTAGAATCTTAATAAGGGCTGGACTCAGGGAATCCAACGGATCTGAAGTCTATTATGCTACTTATCTATTGTGTGAGCTGGGGCACAGACATCCTGTACTGAGGCTTTTCTGATTCGTTTAGGCAGTGCGGAGGATGATAATCCTAGCTAGCCCCTAAATTTCTGTGATGCAAGGAAGTGGGGTAGTAGCTACCAGGTAACATGCTAGCTAATACGATACATTTCTTCATAGCTAGCAGAACGTTCCCTACATCCCGTACAGTGCTTGCAGAGCCACCGAATACTCAGTGAATGTCCACACTGACAATTCACTACAGCATTTTGAGATAACACAGGCCAAACTCTGTGGCTATCATTTGACATATTCTGTTAGGATTAACAGATTCCTATTTGCCAGAGGATGAGTCTATGCTCGTGTCAGATGTTTGCAGTTGTTAGACTGAGTAGACTCCGCTGAAGGAGACTTGAGACTCATGTGAGTGCAGGAAGGCAATGAAGGGGGAGTGTGAAGATGAGGTGGACTCTCAGAGACTCATATACACAGAGTCCATTCTGACTGATCTGAACAAGCCTCCGCATGTCTTTGTGGAAACAAGACCCAAGTGGAATGGACAAGAATGTCTTTTCCTGTTGTATTTGCCTCATGACTCTGATGGACCTAAGTCAGATTCTGTTCCTTGAAATAACAGTAACAAGCTTCTGAGCCAAAGCCATGGGGTGTCTAATGACTTCTCCATTTGGAGATAGATTTGGATGAGGACACGTGGCCTCTCAGAGTTTCCCCACCTCAGAAGAGCTATAGAAGACCAAAATGAGATGACCTACCAGAATTGGGAAGGCCAGGTTGTCTTTATAACACACAACCATGAGGCAAACTCCAAAGAGCTGTGCTGGCTTTGCAGAATGCGGGGCTGTGCACTGGTTTTGCTGGCAAGTGCTGGAGCCCCACCAAAAGGCCCTGTCTCTGAAAGAACGGCTTTTCACAGTTTTTTGGCCGGAGTCTAAGGAAGAAGAGAGAGTACTAGTAGTAGTAGTTGTTGTTTAATACGCTGAAACTTCTTCTTCCTTTTTTTTTTTTTTTTACAGATTTTATTTATATTTTAATAGAGGGAGAGAGACAGCGAGAGAGGGAACAGAAGCAGGGGGACGGGGAGAGGGAGAAACAGGCTTCCCTCGTAGCAGGGAGCCCGATGCGGGGCTCGATCCCAGGACCTCGGGATCATGACCTGAGCTGAAGGCAGTTACTTAACGACTGAGCCACCCAGGTGCCCCAGACACATCTTAATTCCTGATGACTTGTATTTTCCTAAAGATTTCCTCAAATCAATGTGGTAAGCATCATAAAACCAAGAAATGTCAGAAATATGGAGGGATTGATGATATGTGTCTCCAGGTTCTGAATCGAAAGTCTACCTTCCAAGGTGGACTGCTGACAGCTGTTATTAGCTAGGCTCAAAAGATACTAGCTTTAGTCTCAGGGGCACTTCTCCTAGTCTTATTAATGGCTTTTTTTGGATTACATCCATCATCTTATTTATTCTACACAACAATTCTAAGATTTAGACATTATTTTTATCCATATTTAGAGATGAATTAACTGATGCTGATCTGGTATAACTGCCCAAAGATAATATAGGTGGTAAATGCGGGCACAGGAATTTACACTCTGGAGAGGTAGTTTGACATCAAGTCAAGTCCTTTTTTCTCAATGATGCCAGTTCTTTTCAACCCATTTTAAAGGCCACTGGAATCCTGTGGTGCCTCAAGAGCCCCTGAGCCAAAAGAGGACGGAGGGGAAGAAAGGCCCCTTGCTCTGGCTTCAACCAGAGCACTTCTAATATACATAAATATATATATTATGATAATATATTTATATAGTATAAGTATCTCATTATATATTAAATATAACTACATACATATGTATGATGTGTTTTACATATATATATATGTATATACAAATATATACATACATATACATACATCCTGTACTGAGGCTTTTCTGATTCGTTATTACATATATACATATATATACAAATATATATGTATATATATGTATAGCACGCTTTTAGAATTTTGTTAGAAAAAATTCCCAAACACTATAGCATACCATGATGAGTCGTAATGCCTTTATGATCTACACTAGAAACTTCTTGAAATCAGAGACCTCATCTTATCCTTTCTTTGGTCTCACAACAGTGTGGACCTCCCTTGACCTGTGAGCCAGCCTTTGGAAGAAGGAGCACATGGAAATCATTGCCCTGGTGATGCGCTGGGCTCCAGAACAGCACTGTCTATGCATCTCCCATGACCCTTGGCAGCCTTGCTGTCTGCATCTCACTAAAGCCAATTAAATTATTCCCAGTACCTGCAGTCTTCTCGCTCTTACCACGACTCATTGAGTTCTCTCCCAAGAAGGAAGTGATGTCTTCTCCAAATATCCTGAGGCAATTTTCAAGGAGAAATTGTACAAGAGAAATCTGTAACACAAAAAGACAAAAATGGGGTGTTCTTTTCCATAGGCCATAGTTAGAAAACACATTTTGCATATAGACCTTGGATCTTAGAAAAAACGTGAAGGACTTGTCAGAAAAATTCAGAGTTGATAAAAATACGTAGAAACCAGGGGCACCTGGGTGGCTCAGTCAGTTACGCGTCTCCCTTCAGCTCAGCTCATGATCCCAGGGTGCTGGGATCAGCCCTATATCTGGCTCCCTGCTCAGCGGGAAGCCTGCTCCCACTCTCCCTGCTTGTGTTCCCTCTCTGTCAAGTAAATAAATAAAATCTTAAAAAAAAAAACCCAAAAAACATAGAGACCAGAGTTCTCTAGGAAATAACTTAGAATGACTGATGCTTTCCCGTGTACTTTGGGTACACATTTTGAAATACTGCTCATCTGTGGGCTAAAGTTTTAATGCGTGGCCCAGTTTCATAGCTAACATTTTGGGATCAGTGGTTATATCTTTAAGCCTAGGATAAATTTCGGGGCCCCTCAGTTGAGCGTCTGACTCTTGATTTCGGCTCAGATCACAATCTCATGGTGGTGAGATCCAGCCCCACATGGAGCCAACTTTCGGCTCTGGGCTCAGCAGGGAATCGGCTCGGGCTTCTCCCTCTCCCTCTTCTTCTGCCCCTGCCCCGCTCACACTCTCTTTCCCTCTCTCAAAGAAATAAATATCAAAAAATAAATAAAACTAGGATAATTTTCAAAGTAGCCCACCTTATTAAAGTTTACCTATTTTTTGTTTTTAAATTTTGTTTCCAGTTCTATTGAGCTGTAACTGATGTATAACATCTTATGAAACTTTATAAAGTATAAACAAAAACTTAAAACGATTTCTTAAATGAAGAAGAATCTTAAAGTTGAGAAGCAGAGATTTTGGTGGGGTTGTGAGGGAAAACCCACATAGCTGGACAGAAAATGTATCTGTCTGTCTAAGTTCAGTACCTTCTCACGCATTGGTTTGCCTCATGCTGGCGCTCTCTGTGTGAGCTTGGGGAAGACCTGTCATCTTGTTAGGATGGTCTGGAATCTTTTGCTAGTTTCCATAAGATGCAGCAGAGGTGAAAAAGTAGTCGAGTACTTTTCTAGATGAGCCACAATTGGCAGAGGAAGGCCAATGTGTTTGGAGCCATGGGGGCTCATATTGCCCAAGCCACCCAGGATGTGCCAGTGATGACCGGAGGAGCTGGCTGTTGTCGCCATTGTGTAGTGAGGAAACCATGGCTTTGCCCAAGGTTACGAGTCCCTCAGGGATTAGGCTGAGAGTTGAACCTTGACTGGTGAAGCTCCAAAGCCCAAGTTCCTTTCTATCGTATCACAGAACTCTTTTCTCTCTCATTTAGTCAGTCTAGTGCTTAGTCTCCTGGAGGGGGAAGAAGTGACTCGACTGCTCCGAGTTTCCCATTTAACGACACCCCTTCCCAGACTCCGTGAGAGTAGGATAAAGAACTCTGCCACTCCACAGGGGCCTAATGAAAATGTGCACTTCACAAAGTTCCATCCGTCAGAGTTACTACTGCACATGTCCGGTTCAAAGTAGGGATTCTACCCCCTGGGGGACAAGAATGACACCTCTCATTACCTTTTTTATCAAGTTGTCTTCCAATTCCAAGGTGCCGGAATCAGGTGGGTAAAGAACGCTTGGGGCTATACAAACAGATAAATTATAAGCTGTCATCTGATTGGATGAGGAATGTTGCTCAATGTTGTATAGCACTCCAAAAAGGTATCGCAAGAGAACAACATTTGCTCTTGGCAGCTGGGGTAAAAGCCTAAGGTCAGAAAAATACACATTTAAATTAGGCAAGTGATTCCAGTTAGGAGGTTGGAAAAAAAAGACAGGGAACAGGATACATCCTTGTATATCTAGCACACAACCCGCTGTAGCAGAGTTCCAGGCATGAATGTATACAAAATTGTTGCCCTGAATTCAGTTCCTGCACCAGATAAAATCTTCTCTGGTTAGTGAAATGTTTGACAGACCTTTAAGGTCATAGCCCTGGCAATTGATGTTCTTGCATCTGTCTTGTACCAGGGGATTTCCACTAACAGTTTCATGTATCCAAAAGATGTAAAACGGCCAAGGATTCCACATTAATAAGATCAGGAGAAGAACGATAATAGCCCTAAAGTGTGTCTCCATTATGAACCTGGCCCCCATGGGTGTGAAGAATTGAAACTCTTTGGCATTGGTCATGATTATAGTGAGCAAAGCTGCAAAACGTAAGCCAATGTTTTCCTAATAGTATGTTGGCTGTATTTTGGAGATGTGACCAGAGTAGAGTAATTATTGCATCATTACCTCTGGGCTGCAGTTATATTCTCCTCTTCGTTGCCTTGATCAATAACACCGCGCCATTTGTCATAGAGATCAGATAAAAATATACTTCCGTGGGTATTTCTAAGAAAATCCTTAGGGAGATAAAAAAAAACTATGTATATATATTATAGAAAATATGTAATGGAAATATTCCAGAGAAAATATGTAGTTAAAAAATTCAGTTCAGCCCCCACTTCCTTCACAGATACCCAAACTGTGACCCACACGGTGCTCGGCTCTGACTCTCCATTGACTTGCACACGCAGCAGCAGATGCTTGGATTTTCCCCCACTAAAACTTAGAGGCATAAAAGCAGAGCTTAGCCTGTGGTGGCAATGAAGATAAAGCTCCCTTCTATCATCTGGAACTTATTTTTTGTGTGTGCTTTTTTTGCAAAGTACCACAAACTGACAGGGTCTGGCTATAGACCATCCTAAATCCTATTAGCTTCTTGGACAGAAATACACATACCCATGTTGCTTGTTTTAGGCACAGTGCTAGCTCTTAATTCTAGCAAGAAAAGCCCTGAAACAATCAAAACACAAACAGGTGGGCTCTTGCACACATATTAGGAAAGAACTAGGTCTTCTCACTCGGGGTATGCGTGCTCCCTGGAAGAAAGCTACTCTCACAATTGCTTCATTCTTCCTTTTCTTAACTGTCTAAAATTCGAGAGTCTAATGGCAGACTCACTGTGGTCCTGAGGATAGATTCATTTCTAGTTTAGGACAATTGTCCAGTTAGTTTGCCATGATATTATCAAGGCCAAGGTTGCAGAGTCTGATTCTCCACCAAGATCTGTCAACTTCAGGAGGAGAAAACTTTAGAAATGTCTAAGCACTATACCCAGAAGTGCTCACGCTCCTCCTAGTCAGTGCTTATAACACAGATCAGGAAAGAACCTACCAACTCTTGCTAGAAAATCGATTCCATGTGTGCACCTTACAGAGGGCAACACTCATCTTGCTACCTAGTGTATTATCATTCTTCTCCTGTCTCCTGATGCCTATATGTATATTACTACTGGATATCACTATGGCCCCAGTGTAGGAGTGGTTACCTAAGTCATTTCTGGACTTTGCTATTGATCACATCTTCGAACATTAATGGGGGACAAGGGAAGACCAAATGTGACTGAGATTCTAAGACTGTAGTCAGTACTACATTAACATAGGGTTGTTCAGAGCTGTTCATAAGTGCCAAGCTGCATGGATTAAATTCTTTCCCTGTTCTATTTCTTTTTTTTTTTTTTTCTTATTCATTTGAGACACAGAGATAGAGAGAGAGAGCATGAGGAGGGAGAGAGGCAGAGGGAGAGGGAAAAACAGGCTCCCCGCTGAGCAGGAAGCCCTATGCGGGGCTCGATCCCAGGACACTGGGATCATGACCTGAGCCGAAGGCAGACGCTTAACCATCTGAGCCACCCAGGCACCCCTCCCTGTTCTATTTCTTTTGGAAAGTTTGCCTTCATTAGGAGGGGGGTGAGGATGTCTGCTTCGGTAAACAGTGTGTTTGTGTCAGTGCGTATTTTGAAATTTATTATCATGACTGTAGTCATTTCACTATTAGTATTTTGCATGGAGTCTTCAGGAGTGAAGGTGCGGAGGGCCGTGTGTGGTGAAAACAGAAAGTATTTCTAACACATGGGGCTTTTAACTCCTAAAGTAGCTTCCTTAAATTTTGATTTTGTCAAGCGTTTTTCAGCTTGTCAGGTTCTTAATCTACTATGCCTGTTATGGTTCTTGAGCAGTCATGATGAAGGACACCAATCATCGCTTCAGTTACTCACGTGTGGATAATGCTAGAACCTTCCCTACCTTTAAGACGGATGTGAACACATGAATAGATTCCCTGTACGGGTTCACTTTGATCCCAGAATTTAGTTTCTCCGTTAGGACTCTGCGGGATTTTATATTGGCTGAGTTTCTGAAGACGCCTTCTGTGAGTGGCCCTTTTTGATTAATAAAGGAAAGCATACCGTGTAGGAAGAAAAGAAAAGTATATGGCATCTCATATCCACAAACGCAGAGCACAAGCTTGCCTCCGTTTTGAAAGAAAAGGGGAATGTAATGGTACAATGTTTTAGAGCGGGAAGGACTAAAGTCAATTTAGATTGCTGTTTTTTCAGTGTCTCTCTATATACTTTCTACCCATATATCCATTTTACAGTCATACACTGAAACATTTTAAACACTTCTTTTAATCAGATTTTCCACTAAGTTTACACTTTTAAATCAACCTTCTCTGTCTCAAGGCCTTTGGGCAATCACCGTCTCTTTCCTACTTTACCATTCTTTTCACATTTTTCCCTTACATACATGCTCTTCCGCAAGTTGGAAATCTATTTAGGAAATACTCATTTCCCATTTGTTTATTTCTCTTTAAGTGACTGTATACTCCTTTCCTACTTGTTCTATTTCCTTCCCTCTTTTAAAGCCAGGCTCAGAAACTCTCTTGTCCTTCTCTGATTACCCTCCCTTCTCATGAGTCTTAAATTGTCTTTTGCTCTATCTTCATGTCCTCTCTCTGCTGTGTAGAATCTTAATAAGGGCTGGACTCAGGGAATCCAACGGATCTGAAGTCTATTATGCTACTTATCTATTGTGTGAGCTGGGGCACATACATCCTGTACTGAGGCTTCTCTGATTCGGTTAGGAAGTGTGGAGGATGATAATCCTAGCTAGCCCCTAAATTTGCTGTGATGCAAGGACCTGGGGTATTAGCTAACAGGTAACATGCTAGCTAAGAAGATACATTTTTTCATAGCTAGCAGAACGTTCCCTACATCCCGGACAGTGCTTGCAGAGACACCGAATACTCAGTGAATGTCCACACTGACAATTCACTACAGCAGCTTGAGATAACACAGGCCAAACTCTGTGGCTTTCATTTGACATATTCTGTTAGGATTAACACATTCCTATTTGCCAGAGGATGAGTCTATGCTCGTGTCAGATGTTTACAATTGTTAGACTGAGTAGACTCCGCTGAAGGAGACATGAGACTCATGTGAGTGCAGGAAGGCAATGAAGGGAGAGTGTGAAGATGAGGTGGACTCTCAGAGACTCACATACACAGAGTTCATTTTGACTGATCTGAACAAGCCTCCACATGTCTTTGTGGAAACAAGACCCAAGTGGAATGGAGAAGAATGACTTTTCCTGTAGTATTTGCCTCATGACTCTGCAGGACCTAAATCAGATTCTATTCTTTGAAATAACAGTAACAGAGCTTCTCAGCCAAAGCCAGGGGCTGTCTAATGACTTCTTCATTTGGGGATAGATTTGGATGAGGACGCTTGGCCTCTCAGAGTTTCCCCTTCTCAGGAGGGCTATTGAAAACCAAAATGAGATGACCTACCAGAATTGGGAAGGACAAGTTGTCTTTATCACACACATCCATGAGGGAAACTCCAAAGAGCTGTCCTGGCTTTGCGGAAGGTGGGGCTGTGCACTGGTTGTGCTGGGAAGTGCTGGAACCCCGACAAAACGCCCTGTCTCTGAAAGAACGGGTTTTCACAGTCTTCAGGCTGGAGTCTAAGGAAGAAGTGAGAGTACTCGTAGTAGTAGTTGTTGTTTAATATGTTGAACCTTCTTTTTCCTTTTTTTTTTTTTTTACAGATTTTATTTATATTTTGACACAGAGAAAGAGACAGCAAGAGAGGGAACACAAGTAGGGGGAGGGGGAGAGGGAGAAGCAGGCTTCCCTTGGAGCAGGGAGCCCGATTCGGGGCTCGGTACCAGGACCCCAGGATCATGACCTGAGCTGAAGGCAGATGTTTAACGACTGAGCCACCCAGGTGCCTCAGATTCATCTTAATTCCTGATGACTTGTATTTTCCTAAAGATTTCCTCAAAGCATGTGGTACGTGTCATGAAAACAAGAAATGTCAAAAATATGGAGGGATTGATGATACGTGTCTCCAGGTTCTGAATCGAAAGTCTACCTTCTAAGGTGGACTGCTGCCAGGTAGCTGTGATTAGCTAGGCTCAAATCATACTACCTCTAGTGTCAGGGGCACTTCTCCTAGTCCTATTAATGGCTTTTTTTGGATTACATCCATCATCTTATTTATTCTACACAACAATTCTAAAATTTAGACATTATTTTTATCCACATTTTAGAGATGAATAAACTGATGCTGAGCTGGTATAACTGGCCAAAGATAATATAGCTGGTAAATGGGGGTAGAGGAATTTATACTCTGGAGAGGTTGTTTGACATCAAGTCAAGTTCTTTTTTCTCAAAGATGCCAATTCTTTTCAACCCGTTTCAAAGGGCACTGGAATCCTGTGGTGCCTCAAGAGCCCCTGAGCCAAAAGAGGAGGGAGGGGAAGAAAAGCCCCTTTCTCTGGCTTCAACCAGTGCACATGTAATATACATAAATATATACATTATGTTTATATATTTATATAGTATCAGTATATAATTATGTAATATATATAACTACATAGATATATATATAGCACCCATTTAAATTTTGTGAGAAAAAGTTCCCAAACACTGTGGCATACCATGATGAGTCCTAATTCCGTTATGATCTACACTAGAAACTTCTTGAAGTCAGAGACCTCATTTTATCCTTTCTTTGGTCTCACAACAGTGTGGAACCTCCCTTGACCTGTGAGCCAGCCTTCGGAAGAAGGAGCCCATGGAAATCCTTGCCCTGGCGATGCTCTGGGCTCCAGAACAGCTCTGTCTAAGCATCTCCCATGACCCCTGGCAGCCTGGCTGTCTGCTTCTCACTAAAGCCAATTAAATTATTCCCGGTACCTGCAGCCTGCTCGCTGTTACCACGACTCATTGAGTTCTCTCCCAAGAGGGAAGTGATGTCTTCTCCAAATATTTTAAGGCAATTTTCAATGAGAAATTGTACAAGAGAAATCTGTAACACAAAAAGACAAAAATGGGGTGCTCTTTTCCATAGGGCATAGTTATAAATCACATTATATATATAGACCTTGGATCTAAGAAAGAATGTGAAAGATTTCCCAGAAAAATTCAGAATTGATAAAAATACATAGAGACCAGGAGCGCCTGGGTGGCTCAATCGGTCAAGCGTCTGCCTTCAGCTCAGCTCATGATCCCAGGGTGCTGCGATCAGCCCTACATCGGGCTCCCTGTTCAGCGGGAGGCCTGATTCTCCCTCTCCCACTCCCCCTGCTTGTGTTCCCTCTCTCGCTGTGTCTGCCTCTGTCAAGAAAATAAATATAATCTTAAAAAATAATAATAAAATAAAAAACAGAGACCAGAATTCTCTAAGAAATAACTTAGGAAGAGTGATACTTTTCCGTGTACTTTGGGTACACATTTTAAAATACTGCTACTCAGTAGGCTAAAGTTTTAATATGTGGCCTAGTTTAATAGCTAACATTTTGGTATCAGTGGTTACATCATTAAGCCTAGGATAATTTTGGGGGCCCCTCAGTTGAGCATCTGACTCTTGATTTTGGTTCAGATCACTATCTCATGATGGTGAGATCCAGCCCCACATGGAGCCAACTTTGGGCTCTGTGCTCAGCAGGGAATCAGCTTGGGCTTCTCCCTCTCCCTCTCCCTCTTCTTCTGCCCCTGCCCCGCTCACGCTCTCTCTTTCCCTCTCTCAAATAAATACATATCAAAAAATAAATAAAACTAGGATAATTTTCAAAGTAGCCTACCTTATTAAAGTTTACTTATTTTTTGTTTTTAAATTTTGTTTCCAGTTTTACTGAGCTGTAACTGATGTATACCATCTTATGAAACTTTATAAAGTATGAACAAAAACTTAAGAAAACCATTTCTTAAATGAAGAAGTATCTTAAAGTTGAGAAGCAGGGATTTTGGTGGGGTTGTGAGGGAAAACCCACCCAGCTGGAGAGAAAATGTATCTGTCTGTCTAACTTCAGTCCCTTCTCACTCATTGCTTTGCCTCATGCTGGCTCTCTCTGTGTGAGCTTGGGGAAGACCTGTCATCTTATTAGGACATTCTGGAATCTCTTGCTAGTTTCCATATGACGTAGCAGAGGTGAAATAGTAGCTGAGTACTTTTCTAGATGAGCCACAATTGGCAGAGGAAGGCCAATGTGTTTGGAGCCATGGGGGCTCATATTGCCCAAGCCACCCAGGATGTGCCAGTGATGACCGGAGGAGCTGGCTGTTGTCGCCATTGTGTAGTGAGGAAACCATGGCTTTGCCCAAGGTTACGAGTCCCTCAGGGATTAGGCTGAGAGTTGAACCTTGACTGGTGAAGCTCCAAAGCCCAGGTTCTTTCCTATCGTATCACACGACATTTCTCTCTCTCGTTTAGGCACTCTAGTGTTTAGTCTCCTGGAGGGGGAAGAAGTGACTCGACTGCTCCGAGTTTCCTGTTTAACGACACCCCTTCCCAGACCATGCCAGAGTAGGATAAAGAACTCTGCCACTCCACAGGGGCCTAATGAAAATGTGCACTTCACAAAGTTCCATCCGTCAGAGTTACTACTGCACATGTCCGGTTCAAAGTAGGGATTCTACCCCCTGGGGGACAAAAATGAGAGCTCTCATTACCTTTTTTATCAAGTTGTCTTCCAATTCCAAGGTGCTGGAATCAGGTGGGTAAAGAACGTTTGGAGCTATACAAACGGATAAATTATAAGCTGTCATCTGATTGGATGAGGAATGTTGCTCAATGTTGTATAGCACTCCAAAAAGGTATCGCAAGAGAACAATATTTGCTCTTGGCAGCTGGGCTAAAAGCCTAAGGCAGAAAAACACACTTTAACTTAGGCAAATGATTCCACCTAGGAGGTTGGAAAAACAGAGACAGGGAAAAGGATACGTCCTTGTATATCTAGCACACAACCCGCTGTAGCAGAGTTCCAGGCATGAATGTAGACAAAATTGTTGCACTGAATTCAGTCCCTGAGACAGATAAACACTTCTCTGGTTAGTTAAATGTTTGACAGACTTTAAGGTGAGAGCCCTGGCAGTTGATGCTCTTGCATGTGTCTTGAACCAGGGAATTTCGTCTACCAGTTTCATGGATCCAGAAGGTGTCAAACGGCCAAGGAGTCCACATTAATAAGATCAGGAGAAGAACAATAATAGCCCTAAAGCATGCCTCTATTCTGAAGCTGACCCCCGTGGCTGTGAAGAATTGAAACTCTTTGACGTTGTTCATGATTATAGTGGGCAAAGCAGCAAAACGTAAGCCAATGTTTTCCTAATAGTATGTTGGCTGTATTTTGGAGATGTGACCAGAGTAGAGTAATTATTGCATCGTTACCTCCGCGCTGCAGTCATCTTCTCCTCTTCGTTCCCTTGATCAATAACACCGAGCCATTTGTCATAGAGATCAGACAAAAATATACTTCTTGGGATATTTCTTAGGAAATCCTTGTGGAGATAAAAATAAATATGTATATATATTACAGAAAATATGTATTGGAAATATTACAGAGAAAATATGTAGTTAAAAAATTCAGTTCAGCCCCCACTTCCTTCACAGATACCCAAACTGGGACCCACACGGAGCTTGGCTCTGACTCTCCATTGACTTGCACACGCAGCATCAGGTGCTTGGATTTTCTCCCCCTAAATCTTAGAGGCATAAAAGTAGAGCTTAGGCTGTGGTAGAAATGAAGATAAAGCTCCCTTCTATCATCTGGAACTTATTTTCTTTGTGTGCTTTTTTTGCAAAGTACCACAAAGTGACAGGGTCTGGCTATAGACCATCCTAAATCCTATTAGCTTATTGGACAGAAATACGCTTACCCATGTTGCTTGTTTTAGACAAGGTGCTAGCTCTTAACTCTAGCAAGAAAAGGCCTGAAACAATCAAAACACAAACAGGTGGGCTCTTGCACACATATTACGAAAGAACTAGGTCTTCTCACTCGGTGTATGTGTGCTCCTTGGAAGAAAACTACTCTCATAATTCCTTCATTCTTCCTTTTCTTAACTGTCTAAAAGTCGAGAGTCTAATGGCAGACACACTGTGGTCCTGAGGATAGATTCATTTCTAGTTTAGGCCAATTGTCCAGTTAGTTTGCCATGATATTATCAAGGCCAAGGTTGCAGAGTCTGATTCTCCACCAAGATCCGTCAACTTCAGGAAGAGAAAACTTTAGAAATGTCTAAGCACTCTCCCCACAAGTGCTCACCCTCTTCCTAGTCGGTGCTTATAACACCGAATCAGGCAGGAACCTCCTAACTCTTTTTTTTTTTTTTTTTAAGATTTTATTTATTTATTTATTTAAGAGAGAGAGGGAGAGAAACAGCATAAGAGGGGATAGGGTCAGAGGTAGAAGCAGGCTCCCTGTGAGCCAGGAGCCCGATGTGGGACTCGACCCAGGACTCCGGGATCATGACCTGAGCCGAAGGCAGTCGCTTAAGCAACTGAGCCACCCAGGCGCCCGGAACCTCCTAACTCTTGCTAGAAAATCGATTCCATGTGCTCACCTTACAGAGGGCAACACTCATCTTCCTACGTAATGTATTATCATTCTTCTCCTGTCTCCTGATGCCTATATGTATATTACTACTGGATATCCCTATGCCCCAGTGTAGGAGTGGTTACCTAAGTCATTTCTGGACTTTGCTATTGATCCCATCTTCGAACATTAATGGGGGACAAGGGAAGACCAAATGTGACTGAGATTCTAAGACTGTAGTCATTACTACGTTAACATAGGGTTGTTCAGAGCTGTTCATAAGTGCCAAGGTGGATGGATTAAATTCTTTCCCTGTTCTATTTCTTTTGGAAACTTTGCCTTCACTAGGAGGGTGGTGAGAATGTTTGCATGGGTAAACAGTGTGTATGTGTCAGTGCGTATTTTGAAATTCATTATCATGACTAGTAGTCATTTCAGTATTAGTATTTTGCATGGCGATTTCAGGAGTGAAGGCAGGGTAGGCGGTGTGTGGTGAAAACAGAAAGTATTTCTAACATATGGGGCTTTTAACTCCTAAAGTAGCTTCCTTAAATTTTGATTTTGTCAAGCGTTTTTCAGCTTGTCAGGTTCTTAATCTGTTATGCCCATTATGGTTCTTGAGCAGTCATGATGAAAGACACCAATCATAGCTTCACTTACTCGTGTGTGGATAATGCTAGAACCTTCCCTACCTTTAAGACGGATGCGACCACATGAACAGATTCGCTGGACAGGTCCACTTTGACCCCAGAATTTAGTTTCTCCTTTAGGACCCTGGTTGATTTTATATTGGGTGATTTGCTGAAGATGCATTCTGTGAGTGGCCCTTTTTGATTAATAAAGGAAAGCATATCCTGTAGGAAGAAAAGAAAATTATATTGCATCTCATACCCCAAACGCAGAGCTCAAGCTTGCCTCCGTTTTGAAAGAGGAGGGGAATGCAATGGTACACTGTTTTCGAGCTGAAAGGACTAAAGTCAATTTAGATTGTTTTTTTTTCAGTGTCTCTCTATATACTTTCTACCCATATATCCATTTTACAGTCATACACTGAAACATTTTAAACACTTCTTTTAAGCAGATTTTCCTTTCCATTGAGTTTCCACTCTTAAATCAAACTTCTCTGCTTCAAGGCCTTTGCACAATCACCGTGTTTCCTACTTTACCATTCTTTTCTCATTATTCCCCTACGTAGATGCTCTCCCCCAAGTATGGAAGTCTATTTAGGAAATACACATTTCCCATTTGTTTATTTCTCTTTAAGTGAGTGTATACTCCATTCCTACTTGTTCTATTTCTTTCCCTCTTTTAAAGTCAGGCTCAGAAACTCTCTTCTCTTTCTCTGATTACCCTCCCTTCTCATGAGTCTTTCATTGTCTTTTGCTGTATCTTCATGTCCTCTCCCTGCTGTGTAGAATCTTAATAAGGGCTGGACTCAGGGAATAAAATGGATCTGAAGTCTATTATGCTACTTATCTATTGTGTGAGCTGGGGCACAGACATCCTGTACTGAGGCTTTTCCGATTCGTTTAAGAAGTGTGGAGGATGATAATCCTAGCTAGCCCCTAAATTTGCTGTGATGCAAGGACCTGGGGTAGTAGCTAGCAGGTAACATGCTAGCTAATACGATACATTTCTTCATAGCTAGCAGAACGTTCCCTACATCCCGTACAGTGCTTGCAGAGACACCGAATACTCAGTGAATGTCCACACTGACAATTCACTAGAGCAGTTTGAGATAACACAGGCCAAACTCTGTGGCTTTCATTTGACATATTCTGTTAGGATTAATAGTTTCCTATTTGCCAGAGGATGAGTCTATGCTCGTGTCAGATGTTTACAGTTGTTAGACTGAGTAGACTCTGCTGAAGGAGACTTGAGACTCCTGTGAGTTCAGGAAGGCAATGAAGGGAGAGTGTGAAGATGAGGTGGACTCTCAGAGACTCACATACAAAGAGTCCATTTTGACTGATCTGAACAAGCCTCCGCATGTCTTTGTCGAAACCAGACCCAAGTGGAATGGAGAATGTCTTTTCCTGTTGTATTTGCCTCATGACTCTGCAGTACCTAAATCAGATTCTATTCTTTGAAATAACAGTAACAGAGCTTCTCAGCCAAAGCCAGGG